TGCGGGGAACGGCAAAATCTATGACCAGCGAAGGCAGTCCTTAAGTCGCAGTTACAGCTAAATAATTAAGAGCTCTAATTTTCTGATTGAAGTGTAAAGTGATAAATCTTGTGTCCAATTAGTTGTGCGAGATAGTACCACAGCACAACATTTTAGAAATTTGGTTGGTCATTAGTCACCTCGCTGCACACCGGCAATAAATACTAATGGTTTACGCCGATAACACGACGGATACATGTTGTGAGAAAACTACTAGTTGTTAGTTGTTCACTTTGGCTGAGCAGCTTACCTACCTTCCTACGCCTTTAGTTCTCACCGGAGACAGTTTGCCCTGTGCTGATGACAGCCATCAGGTGCCCCTTTATACCTTGTTCGTGATAAAGTTCGGTGTCTTATCTTTTCTTGATCTTGTCTGATTCCGAGGTGTCCATACAGAAAAGGTGAATCTATAAGCAGTCGGAAAACAAAGGCGGATCCAAAAGCGGCCAGGGAAGAAAGGCAGATCTGCTTGTTAGTGAAATCAGAAAACTTAACTTAAAATGCATCAACCTCTCCGTAGGAATGTCCTTTAGGAGAATTTAATGTCACATTTTAATCGCAAGGCAATGGGCATTGTACAACTGCTTCACAATCGAAAGTGTTCAAATGAAAGTTACGTAAATGCATGTATGTAACTGAAACGTTTTCACTTATAACTTTTCACATCAGGCGATTTGCACTTGTAGGTGTGCAACTCCTCTGTTGAATACTTATCCAGACAGGAGTCTTACTGCGTTGAAAGTGTTCAGCAGGACTGTTACGCACTAACAAATAAACGTCTAAGGCTTTAAAAACTTGCACGTGCGCAACTACGCATAAGAGCAATTGTAAATATTTAACTCGTTGTTGCACACTTAAGTCTGTTACACAGTTGCAAACTTCATATATACGGGAGGAAACGTCCCTTTTAAAAAAGAGATTGCTAGCATAGTTACACTATAACAATAAATCAAATTTCTTGTACACATTAAAATTTGTTAATAATGTTAAAAATTTACTTCAATATTTCCAAACTAAACAGCCAGAAAATTGTCCTTATACCGAACATATCAGGTTATTTAGTTGCCGTTCACCCACATAATTGTTTTTCAATGCAAGATGTGTTACATTCTGAGCCGACTTATTTCGGACCCCATTTATGTTTCACCGCAAAGAGAGTTAAATCAGATAGAATGCCACAGTAGCCCGGCACAGTGTGCGGTACAATAAATAAAAAAGGAAAATTGAGCATAACACGGTGTTTCAGTGGTGGATGGAATTTATTGTCGATTACTGAGTACAGTCATCAGTACTGGTGCACTGCAAACTTAGACAAGGGGGTAGCT